ATTGCAGAACAACATAATGGAATATCACAAATATGATACATAAAGTTGCAAAAACCATAAATGTGCTGACTCTCAGACTTTACAACGACGTTTGGTACCAATGGGGAACGGTTGAAGAGACACAGATCCTGAACCTATGCTGCTTCTGCATCCATTCATGTACTGTATATGCATCAATATGTCTCTGTTGTAAAAATAGCACGAGCAATTCTCTCTAGAATTCTCTATACATTTTGAAAAGTGAAGAGTTGTCAGACATTGCTAGCCTGCATATTTGACACAGATTTTAGGGATTGCACAACAGCTGCATTTAGTCTGTTTAGTCCTCACAGATTTTTTCTGCAAATAAAGGAAAGAGATCTTCCTAAAATGAAGATTGGCTGTAGCTTTACGAGAAATATTAAATATTTTGCATCATGGGTGTGTGTTTGCATTTGTGTGAATGCTGCATGGATATTCCAGTAGTGTTCCTGTGGTTGTACTTGAACAATGTTTAGACATCTGTTTCAGGGTTCATACATGTGCAAATAAGCAGGTGTGTGGCCAATGCGAACGTGTAGAATGCCGTGGGATGAATCTCCCCGGAGAGAGTAACAAGAGAGGGAGACCGTTGGAGAGCAACGGCACCGGACCAGAAACAAAGGTTCAAATATGTTCTCTCCATCCGTGGGAGGAAAACAAAACCTGCGGCAAAGAAAACAACCGCAAACGCTCTGAACTGGGCCCTGCTTCTTTACTGCAACCCCTCTCACTTTGCCTGTCCAGTGCTCTCACAATGTCAGACCTTATTCACACAGTGCATTCGCACCGTTCCCGCTGCAACAGAAAGCTCCTCTGGAGAAATTCCTCCACTATTTTTTTATTCTTCTACGTGGATCACATGGAACCCAACTAGCCCGGTCTGAGAGGGGGTTCCTGCAGGGAATAAGCATGCTGCCATTTATATGGAGCTTCTGAGTAGATGATCGGTACTGCTTTACAACAATAAAAAGACAACCAAACAATTAGGATATTTACGGTACAATTATGTGCTTTTCATTAAGGAGGAACGGAGCTCACTTCAAAATTCACTCTATATTGTATAAAAGAGAAGAATGCACATTTATCCACATGAAATCCGTCAGAGGTATTAACACCAGGCTCAATGTGGCATAACGTGAACTGAAGTGGGCATGATTATTTTAAAGGAAAACTTTTTCACCCCGAAACTTGCTGCTATTAACTCTGGCAGTGTGTAGCGTTGCATTATTGAACTGAAGAGCGCTGTGGGTTCCAAAGTGAGCTGGAGGGAATGTTGAGATTATGCTAGTTTCACATCTCCACCCGGGTTCCCTGCCAGGTCTCTGAACCCGTTATTTTCACATCCAACTGATGAGAGTATTTACTATTTTACTAAATCACAGTCCCTCTTGCATTTCTTGGCTTTGTAAAATACAAATACGCACACATAAACATACAGTATACGACTCGGTAGCCTGCATTATTCATCTCCTATGAACAGTCGTCCCCTGGAGGCTCCGAACTAATTGTGTAGATAGCACTCTGAAAAAAATGGGAGGTGCATGTACACTTCATCTTCCTGCGCTGATAGTTCCGCACTTCTTCAAGTCAGCATCTTTGAGGTAGGAGTGCGAAGGTCTATGTAGTGCGTATCAGAAAACCTCAGCGTGTCCTTGAAACTTCGGACAGTGCAGAGTCAGGGTGCTGCTCTTCCCCTGGAAACAGCTGCTTTCGTCCTCTTACCTTGGTCATGCAGATGTGACGACTGGGCCCACATCTAGAGGTTCTCTGCCTTTGCATGTAATGCATTGATTGGTGGGGATATTGAAATGCATGCCTTACAGGATGTTTACAGCCGTGCTGATTAGATCTCACTCAGCTCACCCAGAGGGGTATATTTAGTCTGTGTAGTAACTGTCAGGCACCTACTCTCATCCAGTCAATAAATGTTTATACAACCGTCAATCACTAATGAGTCCTCATACACAAAAAATGATTGTCAGGCATTGAAGTTGAATTATGAGTTAGAGGTGTGACGTTAACAAGTGTGGCTAATATTACTTTGGTATACAGTGTTGGGACTAGGAGTAATATTTTGCAGTGAGTACGTATCCAATTCCAGTATCATATTGTGGCTGGATGTGAAATGCTCCTATGAAGGTGTTCAATAAAAGGCTGCATTATTTATTTGATGGCTGTAGATGCTTTACAGCAAGCAAAACTACCTCCTCCTCTGAAGAGCAAATGAGTCTATAATTAGATTCCACATGTGGGATTATTGAACAGTCTGCAGAGGCTGTAATGAATGGCTGATGAATGCGGTCATAGACACAACTGCATGCACATATAACAAAATAAAAGCTTGTTGAATAAAAGTGAAAAATAAAATTAAATGTGAACGGTTTATTACTATATTTATAGTAAAGACTTACAGCGCAGTAATTGTAGCTAAGCTATTTCATTTATCGGCATTCATGGTGTTAGATCATCAGTGTTGATGAGCTGATATGAGCCGATCTTTAACGACTGCACTTCGTTTTAATTAGTGCTTAGGTGCCAGAGAATGTGTTTGCATTTGGAACGGCAAATAAATTTACCAGATATTGGCTACAATGAAGACATTAACACCGGCCAACCACACACAAAACAGCACTCCCTTTCTCTTTCACCCCCCCCGCCCCACACTTGCATACTGAATGCAGCGTGAATAAACTGCAGGAGACTTGGCATACTGGGCGCTTAATCCCCCTGTAATGTATTATTTCCTTGCTGCAGCGACTCCAAGTGCAACAGATCGTACGTCCAAAATGTGTGATGTGGACTATTGTGGGCCCCTGGGACTCATGCACTGTGTCCTTACACCCTTACTTGCTTTTAAGTTCGCCAGCACTGCACTGCAGCTTGGTCTTTGTTCAGATAACACTACTGTGCCCAATTGTTCCTCACTGGCAAAGTCCGGCATCAAATAGATTCTTAAAAGCCTCTGTTAGAAGTAAAATGGCAGCAAAAAGATCAAAGATTAATGACAGAAAAGGTACCCGCTGCTCAGTGCATGTTTTGTTTTACTCCAGGATGCTCAGATAATGTCCTGTAATCTCTGAAAGTGTCACAGTCAGTCTAAATTCACCCTCGCAGGGGGAGCAAAGTCGTGTTTCTTTAAAATCTCTGGCTTTCTGCAAAAGGGTCCAAATGCAGGGGACATTGCTAGATTAGCACCGTGAGTGATGAAGCGTACTGTAGAGAGACGCTGATCTCACTTCTGTGGAGTGGAGAGGAGAAAGGTGCAGCTTTCACGTGTTCTTTTGACTCCAACAAGATGGAACTAAACTTATTTTCTGACATAAATAAAACAAACAACCATCTCTGTATTGACATGCTGAATGTGAGGTTCTCTTAGCGACACCTTTCAAGTCTGAGTGGGCGGGCGTTTGATTGGATTTTCGGATGGCATATCAATGTGATGTTCAATTATTTTTCTTAAATGACACCTCATTGCTCCTTTTTGTGTCGCTCTAAAAGAGTTACCATGACGTATGGCCTCGTGTCAGGAGCCGAAAGACATCCGCTGGAGCGTGTTTACACGCTTAATCCTGATGGTTTATTCTATACAGAAAGAGACCATATTAGAAAATGTTTAAGGCTGAGCACTTTCCTCACTACACAGAAAAGCTACTGAGATTATATCAGTGAGCAGAATAACAATTACATGCATTATACAGTAATTTATAGATAGCACCTGTCTATATAGGCATGTTCACCTTGAGGTGCATACAAACAAAAAAGGTGTTGATTAGACTACCATGTTACTCTGATGTGTGTATGTGTGTCTATGCAGGTGATAATTATGTGCTTTGTTAGTATGCTATGACAACCCTGGGTGTTATCTTTGTGTTGAGCAGTGTTTTAATCAGAAAAGCATCTGTTATCCGTGAGCACCTACAGTCAAACTATTTTAATTGATGACAATACAACATTCCTATGAAAGACTGGCTCTCACTCGTTGACCCCAATAAATGACTCATAACTTTATCACTGCCTAGCGAGTGCTGCACGACCTCAATGCTCCGCCATCCAAGACACCCAAAGGCACTCAGTGTACCATCATTAGGCATGCGTGGGAACACAAAACCACCTGACAGGTTTACACGTTTCTTAGTTGAGCGTGCATGTCTAGGGAGAGAGAAAATCACGGGGTTGCAAAGGGTATATGCCAGGTCGTTTCTCATGCTTACAGCTCATCCCAGTAAGATTCTGCTTATATATTGAGTGCGTCCAAGCTGGCACCACTTTGCTGTACAACAAAAGGAAAAAAAATAATAAATCAATCTAGCCTGGATAGAGGTGCACTGAAAAGCTCCCAACTGTCACATTTCTTTCCCTGACCAATAAGGCAGTAAGACCTCCGACTTAGAATACATTTTTCACGGTCAATTCCAGATAGAAACGGTGTTAATTGAACTAAAACAGGTTAATAGGCAACGTTCAGGTGAAGAGGTAGGCCAGGGAGCAGAAGAGCTGTATGGGCAAGAAGACCCGATTCTTCAATGCAAGCCCACCGACACTGAAATTCAATTTCCACTTTATTCATGCACTTTGGTTTCCTGGTGACACATAGTTTTAATTGATGAAGTTATGAGTTCCCCGTTAACTTTGTTTTTTGTATGCCTAAATGTTACATAATATGAATCTAAGTATCAAGTAAGCACTTGAATGTTAAGTGACCCCAAATAGAATAACACTTACTCCCTGCAATGTGCATTCATCTAAAAGAATAAGGTAGTTCATTCTAATTAGGCTTTACTGTCTAGATTCAATATCCATTAGCTTAAATAAGCATGTTACTATAAATCACGCTTTGATTAAATTAATTGATGAAATCGTTACAAAATATGTCATCAGATCGTCTTGTATAAGATACGTTAACTCTGTAATGTACATACAAGAGCTTATAAACTGAAAAGATTCATGGTGTTGCAGAAAGTAAGAATAGACTCATTGGATATATTTGTGGAGACTTTATTTACAAAGAAAATTAAGAGATTCCCATTATCCCACGTGGATAGAACTCTGATGGATAAATCATGTTCCAGCGGACAACCTGCAGGCAGAACAAGAAAATAGGGCAAAACGAGATTAGATTCCTTGGCAAACCTGATGACAGAAAAGCAATTTCAGGGTAAACACCAGTTAAGATAAATGTGACAAAAACTCTGACCCGCTCCCATCTGATACACATCAATGTCTGCAATAAACTGTCACATTAGCTTGCTGAAGTGCAAGTTAATCCAAACATAGCGCTGATATCAACCCACATGCCATTTGCAGCTTTCACTCAGACATACAGATAATTTGTTTAAGGTATGCCACTGTGCAAAAAGACTAAATAGGCGCGGTGAGGAACTGTCGTTGTCCGAGTTCGCTGTTCAAACCATAGCTGACAGAAATGCCACATCATACTGACAGTTTGATGAACATGACGATCAGAATTACCTTGACGGCTGTTTGTAGCATCGGTCCATTTTTACTTCTTCAGGATCTGATGTCTGACTACGATGAAGGGAAAAGCAAAGCCGCTGCCAAAGAACACCACCATCATGCCAAGCAGACGCCACTTGTTCTCCACCGAAAATGGCAGGTTCTGCAAAAAGAGAGAAGGAAAATTGTGACTCTGGGGAAACTACAAGACATTTAATTGATTTATGATTACCATACTAGTTACTGATCTATTTAACCCAGCTATTTTTGACTGCACTGTTCTTTGAAAGCACTGGCTCAAGGTTGAAAGTGCCTGTAAAATATATAATAGCGACAAAGATGATAAAAGTATGTTTTCTTGCCAAATATCTAACGACTATTTTACACAGACCACTATAGTTTAGCAATTTGCGTGGTTGGTTTTTAAGAACTAAACTGGTTTCCTCAAGAAAAAAATAAGCGAATCTTGTCATATAGGAAATAATAGGATATAAGAAAATACCTCAGGGCTTGAGAACATGTTTACATCTGCAATGCAAGTCCTCATTTGACTTGTATTTTTGTCAAAAAATGCCATGCTGCAGTTATTTGCAGAATTTTAATTGAGCCCAATTGCTCTACCGACAAATTACCCTTAAACTGAAGGAGCTTCTGCATCATTCAACTTCAGCCCAAAGACACAGCAAAAACACCACATCTATTAAAGTGACGCATTCGAATATATAACGTTATATGTCAAACAGGATAAACCGTCGCTATTAGTGGCATCGTTCAGCTTTATTATAGTTTAGTATTTAGCAGTCTAACCTACTGTTGACAATGCTTGTTAGATTGTGGGCTTCCAGCTGTGACCTTAACGGTCTTAAAATTAGCCGGAGGTGATTTAACGTCACATTAACGATAGCAACCATCGTTGAGTTATTCACATTAAGTGTGTTTGTTCAATGTAACGTTACTTGTGCATTAGCAATACTCATACATCAAATAAAAACGCTTCTAGCGACTTAATGTGGTTCGCTGAAGTATTGTCCACCGCTCACTTGGTAACGTAAGTTTGAATGGAAGGAGTTAGCATTAGTTAACACATAGCAACATTAGCTGTGTGGCTAATCGGTCGTTAACAAACAGCGTGCCGTAACAGGTATCCTTCAATCCACAGTTGCTGTCATGAGAATGTTAATGGCTTCACTTGTTTTGTAACACTGTGTAGGCGATTGTAAGGCTTTGGCTAGTTAAGCTGGCATTACAATCACGCTGTTGTCGAATGACAGACGTGACCTCCAAGTAATGCTAGCTAGCGTCAGGCGGTAAGATACAGACAAGGCCGAATACAGACAATATTATATTTTAAACAAAAATGTTGCTTTAAAGAGATAACTTCACCTTCCCTGGTCCTTCAGCATAGTGTGAAGAACGAACAGCAGACGTCGTGAATCGCCTCACAGCTTGTCCCAGCATGATTAAAGTCTGGTTATTTCGGTGCTCCGGTATAACGTTGCTGTATGCGACCTTCTTCTTCCTGTAAGAGTAGGAGGTTCGCAAAGGATTATGGGAAATTAAACCGAAGCTAAAGGACATGGGAAATGTAGTTCGAGTACCCAAAACGCGCCCAATGCATATGTTTTTTTCTCTTCCTTTGAGGACTGAGTTTATGTTCCATTTGTGTGTTCGTTGTCAGCATATGAGTAGATATACTGCAGTGGAAACATATTTAACAGGGCTCTCTATGACATGAAGTGTACAAAGTACTAACGACAGCAGTGTTTGATGTAAAGTACGTCTCTGTTGTTGCCTGTTTTGAAAGTGTCAATTCAAACGGTCAAATGAGTTTGCAAAAAAGCCTTTTTCAAAAAATGATTGTCAGGCTTTGATCGTAGAGTTCAATTATGAGTTAGAGGTGTGACATTAACCTCAAAGTGTGGCTTATTTTACTTTTGTATACAGTGTTGGGACTGAGAGTAATATTTTGCAGTGAGTTTGTACTCAATGTACTCATGTACTCAAAAAATCTGTAAAAATACTAATCTACTTAAATTTGGAATTACATCTGATATTATCAAGCCAATGTGAGTGTGGGAATGTGTGTCCTTGTGGGCTCCAAGTAAATAGCTATTGTTCAATAAGTTATCTGCACTTTAGTCTTCACAAATATATCATACCCTGGTAACACCGAGCGGACTGAATAAGTGAAGGTGTGCGCTTTCCTAAGCGTTCTCCTTTCCATTGATTAATGCCTATGTGTGCCAACTGAGCTTCAGGCTGTGTTACTTAAGATGATATTTGGTTTATTTATTTATGATGCACAAGACTGTCTATTCAGATATTGTTTGGATGAATACCTTGTTTTATATTATAGCTTCCAATGTCATGAAGTCTTGCCAAAAACTATATAATAGATATAATGTTGCAAATTCCTTATTAGGTGATATGTGTGTGTACGTGTCCATTTATTTACAATATATCATTTACGTATGGTACTCTTGACCTTGTTTCTCATTTGCAATTAAAAAAACAACAAAGCTTGCTGCTGTCATGTGTTTACTTCAATGAATTCGGTTTCCTACATGTGTCTGTTTACATCCACAGAGAATATTGCTTTGAAATGTGAGGAATGGAGTTCTCTCGTGTTCCATGGATCATCGAACAGGCAGTTTGATGTTTTGAGCTCATTCACTCATCAAATCCTGAGCTTGAACAACGTTTTGACATAAAAAATTGTAGGTTGCTTTTGTCTGATGTTTTCAAAAATGGGTTCCGATGTTAAAGTAATCCAACGCGTTTGGCAGAGCGTCTTCATAAAACAAGAGCCATGCATATGGATTTTGTAAAATGGATTTCACAGGCAGTATGTTAACTGGAAATTCTACAAGGGGGATAATTTTGAAAAGGATATTAAATGTGAACATGCCATAGCGATGCCCAAAGCTGTTCTGCAACATTTTAGTAGATTGCTTTTTTTACACATATATCTTTGTATGGCATAATGAGCGGTCAAAGTTTCTTCCTTTCATCTACTTTTATCTATTACAACATTTGATTTTACCAGCATCATCAACAATGCCATTTTGATCGAATCATTTTGACATTTCCCACATCTAATACCCTAAAAAATAGTTTATAACCTTATAAATCCTTTCGGTTCATGCACTTCTTTCGGATACCTTTAGTGTATAGTGTGTGATACCTTTAATAGTACCACACACAATGCTACTTTAGAGCCTGTCCCAGTACAGAGCGCATGTTCTTTCCTAACAAGTCCGGAGAGGGGGGATCGGACATTACTTGCTGCGATGGAGATTGCCATGGCAAGCTGGTCACCCCTCGTCATGGCTGCCACATCCATCAACGCAGGGTCATCACCTGGCCTACTGCACACGTCTGCTATCTCGTTGCCAGTGCAATCTGTTGAAAAGTAATAAACAATTGGGAATCACACGACAAACAATGTCAACAGACCCTAGTAGAAATATAACAATGCTATCACTTGTCATACAAGGTTGGCCGCAATGTCCTTAAATCCATCCTGCTGCAAGTTTTAAGGATTCTGCATCATGGACCTCCACTGTTTGTTATTTATGTTGACTTTCTTCATTTCTAGCTATTGACTTTCTCTGGCTTATGAGCAAATCAGTTCAGAGTGCTCTGTCAATACTTATATGAGGTTCCTTGGTGTGAAATAGAGGAGTGCAAACATGCTGGGTACACAAATACACCAAGCTGTCATCTGAAATAATAACCCCCATTCTCATTTAAGTCCGCCAATTAGCCTTCAGTGAAGCGAAGGCTCAGTCATATCTGTAAACAAACCTTTAATTAACCATGTACATGACTGTGCATAATGATATGACTGGCTGTGTGCGTACGTACACAACATGGTAACCCCTTGCTTGATTATTACAGACAAATATGTGCATTCAATAAATATGTGAGTATGTTTTTCATTTTATTCCTAATGATCTCCACAGACATCAACTAATCCCTTACAGTTTATGATGAATAGCAGTCTAGACTGCCAAGGTAAGTAGGATCTCTCTCCCAGTGTAGATTTGCAATCATTTCCCTCATAGTACTTTGAGAAGTAATGGATAGTGTTAATCAGTGAGGACAGTCGATTTTGGTGGCACAGTATTTTGGCTTCTGAGTCGAAGGCGTCTTGCATCATTGCCACGGACAAGAGCTGATTTGCACAATTACAGTTTTTTGTGTATTGTTGGAGAGGGTAGCATGAATCTTATCTGGGCTTTGGACGGGGGAGGGTTCTTTTTTGATGGGCAGTAACACATCGGGTTTTAGTCCTTGTCAGTTCGGTCTGGATTGCTTCATCTCATGGTGCGACTCAAAAGTGCGACTTCTTCCCATTTCTTTTCTGTCTGATATAGGATCAGAAAAACCTTGTGATGAAGCGTAAGTGGGGCCTAAAGGGCGTTTAGTGAATGCAGAGCTACACACAAGCGCACAGACTCCAGGCCTGCAGCACTTAAATACACAGGAACACTGCAGCTATAATTCACTATAGGAGTTCATAACATGCGCCCAGTGGCATGATTTGACATTCATCTTTAAAGTGGATTAAGGGGAAAATTACATGAACTCGCAACTGACCCAGCCCTCTTGGGATGAATAACCTGTGCCCCTGTACATTCAGGGTCAGGCCTCTCAAATAACAAGCATCCATACCAAGATTTGGGCTCATGCAACGTCTGCGTTCTTCCAAAGCACACTGTTGTTTTAATACACTCAGGCTTTAAGTCCTCTTCCTCTAACTCCAACATTGCCTTTCCTCCGAAATAAAATGTACTCTGATGATTGGATTCTACATTAAACCTGCCGGGGTGGAAAGAGAATTAGATTGAGAATTATTCTTGGGACCAGAGGTGTACATGACAAATTTGAATCATTCCATTTTTTTCCAGCCCAAAGCATGTACCAGTCCAGTCATAGCAAGCTCTATGAGTTTCGTCTGTGAGGGTTACGTGAAGTGTGAAACACCCCTCTGCCCTTGTCGCGCCCCCCATTTGTCATATATCGGCAATTGATTTACTTCTTAATAGAAAGTGCTTCACACTGTACCCTTCACTGTTGATTTGACAACATGCATGTTGGCGGGATTAGACTATATGTATTAATAATGGCAGGGTAGTAATGATAATGTGTGATAATGTGATAAAATAACAACTTGACATTTACCATTTATTTTTCAAGTAGTATGTAGCTGAGTGAGGATTCCTGCTTCTTCCTCCTTACCAATGACTTGCATTAAAAAGGATAGTCTGCTGTTTTACCCTTAAAATATTTGTCTCGCAGAGAGGGAGACGCTGTGCCAAATAGAAATTTTCCTGGCTTGGTTCATGTGGTTTATGAACATGATCTTATGGAATTTGGCAGATGTACCCCAAATAACTTGTTAACCTTTTACAAACACAGTTCAAGTATAAAAATTAAAAGGGTTCACCTTAATTTGTTTTGCTCAGGTCACTGTGGGCTTTTTAAAACACAACATTGCATGCTTTAGAGATGAATAATTCTATTGCATATGACTCCAAGCGCAAGAACCTGTACAAAGTTAGTCTCTTTTGCTGTTTGGTTTCTCATTGACCCTATTACATGCGAGCGCCTATTTTACCTTTAAGGCATTGCAAAAACTTCAAAAGGTGTGTTGGAAAATCATTTAACTTCCATTCATTTTAACAGAACTTTTGTGCCTCTAGCATTGATTTTCTTTTGGCTTGTGAGGATTGAAAGTGTCCTTTGAGCTTTGTGCCAAACAAATTACAACAGCACCAGCTACATTACAGTATTGTTGAGGCTGTATGAATTAATGTGTTGCATAAAGTGCATTAATCTGAATGTTTACCATTGCCATTGTTCATTGGTCTTGCTTGATAATAACATTGTTTTATGAATATTTACTGTACACCTTTTTAAAGTCATACTTCATGCAGTTTAGTTTTGGAACCAACCAATGCAAAGTCAATTGATTCTCTCTACTGCATCTTGCATCTGTCTCCATGTTTGTATTATCTGTATTATCATAGATTAATTCCATTATAGTCTACCAATCGAAATATCCCCCCGCTTTTCCGTCCTGTCATCCATGAGACAGAGTGCCACAAAGCCACCTGTCAGCGGGCGGTTAAGAGAAGCTCCAGACCGACGAGGACTGACCGGGAGCATCTGTGCCCCTGTTTGTGTCTAATAGGCTAATGAGAGCTGTCAAGCTGTCAAATTCACTCCCCTGGTGCCCTCCGACACCAACAATGGCACCTTCAATTTGGCTGTCGTCAGTGACATTAACAAACACAGCCACAAAAGAGAACAGACATGTGCAAGTGACATGTGCACAAACAAAAAAAGGCATTCATGCTCACAGATACAGCCCTAAAAAAACATATAAAAGAAGAAAAAAAAGAGCGACACAGTGATATTTGTTATTTCTAATGATGGGTTTCCGCCATCGGTTCATCGTGCGACTCCCATTTCTCTGGCTGCCTGGAGATGCCAGTGTCGTTAAGTCACTGTGATCGTAGTTAGCTTTTACTGT